TTGCCACAGATGTAGTCGATTCAATTCCTGTGTATTCTATCTGGCCAGGTCCATGTGTACAGTCGCTGTTTATGTTGTTGAAAAAAGGTATTTGCAACGAAGTTGTTGGTCTTGCAAAATTCTATCGTGTAGCCTCTGGCTTCTTTTCTATCACCAAGGCCATATTTTCCAACTACTGATACTTCTTTGTTTCCAATTTGTGCATTCCCATCACCAATAATTATCAGTGCATCTTGATTGCATGTTTGATCAATTTCAGACTGCAGAAGTTGGTAAAGATCTTCAATGTCTTCATCTTTGGCCTTAGTGGTTGCTGTACAAATTTGAATAATAGTCCTATTAACTGATCTTTCTTGAAGTCGTATGGGTGGGGATATTATCCTATCACTAACAGCATTGTACTTCAGGATAGATCTTGAAATGTTCTTTTTGACAGTGAATGTCACGTCATTCTTCTTCAATTTGTCATCCCCGGCACAGTAGATCATATCATTGTCTCATTCAAAACGGCCAATACGATCTATTTCAGCTCACTCATGCCTAGAATATCGATGTTTATGCATTCTATTTCATTTTTGATGACTTCCCATTTTCCTAGACACATACTTTGTACATTCCACATTCCGATTATTAATGGATGCTTGCAGCTGTTTCTTCTCATTTTGAGTCATGCCACATCAGCAATTGAAGGTCCTGAAAGTTTTACTCCATCCATGCCATTAAGGTCGACTCTACTTTGAGGAGGCAGCTTTTCCCCAAACATATTTTGAACGCCTTCCAATCTGAGAGGTTCATTTTCCAGCACTATATCAGACAATGTTTTGTTGCTATTCATAAGGTTTTCACTGGCCGATTTTTTCGGAAGTAGACCACCAGGTCTTTCTTCCTGATTTTAGTCTATAAGCTCTGCTGAAACCTGTCCACCAAGGATGACCCAACTGGTATTTCAAATTCTGGTGGCAAAGCTTCCAGTATCAAAGCAACACGCAAACCACCACAGTACAACAACCTGACAGATGTATGGTGGGAGTAAGTACTGGAACTCAAAAAAATAAAAGAATACAAGAGAATTATAAATCATAATAGCTTACACCATTGCTCAATATTTTTTCTCCTGAGTTCCTAGGTCTCAAATTTGCAAGCTCCCCTAGGTGAAAGACACTGTGGTTTCATAAAGAAAAATATCTGGGAACACTTGGTAAACTTCTGGAAATACTGATTTGAGCCATTGCTTCGTATTTTGTCTGTGTTTTAGGCACACTTACAGGTGAAGTCACTGGGTTTGCTGCTGCCTTGGATTATTAGAGATCACTCCCAAACGTCCTCCCCGGCAGAAATACATGGCAAAGAACCCTAGGGTCCCTGAAAATCCAGGAAGCAAGAAACCCAGGAATGTAGAAAAACAAACAAGCTCTGAAGAAACAGGTTTCGTTTGTTCATGAAGCGTATACAATCATTCTTTCTTACTCTTTAACACCTTCTGCTCTGCCTCCCCGAATTCTCACCTGGATTTACTGAAGCCTGCTGCTAAGACCAAAGAGCGCCTGCCTTTCTCTGAAATGTTGTTAGTGCAGTACTGAACTGTATCAACACTGCTTTTGTGAATTGCTTTTATTCAGTCTCAGTCTCCATAAATCACGTCTATGCTGAGGGTCCCGTAGCCTTTTCCTAGCTTGGCTTTATAGCACAAGTTGATCTTTAACCCACTTTGCACGCCGTGCTGAGAGCTTATTAACACACGGGCCCCAACTATTAGCTCACCTCAACCAATATTTGCTTGTTGGCGAGACATGTTGTCAGGAGGGACCAGTCCCTGAAGAGGGACATCACGCTTGGTAAAGTGGATGGCCAGCGAAAAAGAGGAAGATCCTCAACGAGATGGACTGACGCAGTGGCTGCAACGATGGGCTCAAGCATGACAACAATTGGGAGAATGACGCAGGACCAGGCAGTGTTTCGTTCTGTTGTACACGGGGTCACTGAGGCAGAACCAATTCGACGGCACCTAACAACTACAGAGAAACAAAGATTTGCTTTAAAAAGATTCAGAGCAGGCGGCATCTTAATGAAACCTTTCCCTAATCTTCCCCTAAAAACTCCACCCTGACTTCAAAAAAAAAAAGAAAAAAATGAGGCCCTCATTTAGAAAGAAACACATGACAGGCAAGGACTGGAGGGAATGAAATGCAGCAGAGAGACAGAAAGAGAGAGAAAGGGAACGGCTGGTAGCCAGCTCTGGAACGAGGCCACAGGCATTCCGGGGTTTGCATTGTTCCTCGTTTTACGTTTTCTCACATTAGACAAGAAATCTTTGCTCATTCTTTTTTAAAACGTTGAAAATATTTTAAGGAAAAAAGAAATATTAGTCACCGATAATCCCACCATTCAAAGATAACCATTAACAATGGAGCGTTTATCCTTTAGACCTTCTAATCTACCCAAATACCTGTGAGGAAAATAACTTTTAAAAATATCATTTCTAATCCTCTCATCAACCCTCTTAGGCGGCTACTCTTAGCACACACCGACAGTGAGGAAACCGAGGCTCAGTGAGACCAAGCTGTAGCTTGAGTGAGGGAGTCCGTCAGGCTGGCCCTAAAGCCACAATCCCCATGTTTCAGCACAAGAGTCTAAGAGCGGTCACCCAAGCCCCTCAGTTCAAGCATGAGATTCAGTATTCTGGAAGGCCCCTCCAAGGTCCCCTCTCATCTGAATGACAGGAAGGGACGGGCCACTCATAACATCCTCAATCCAGGGTATCTTGGGGTGGGAGGTGCTGTACTCAGGGCAGAATTACAAAAGAACTTCTTAACCCTGCTAGACCACCCATCTGATCTCACTATCTTGCAAGTGAGCTGGGAAATCGGACATCTGGGAGGCTGGTGGCCTCTGTCCCAGCATGCAATGCTCTTAGCCACCTCCCCACCCACCCTCCCCCAGGGTGACTCCCTGCGACATTGGAGTCACTTTCTAGGCCAACTCTGAAACAGTTCACATTGTATGGCATTCTAGTAAAATGTGATTAAAATTAACTTCAAGAGTTGTTGGAAGGGGAGGCTTTAATGTCTTCCAGTTTCTCAGGAGACAAGTAACTCAGAAATCAGGTAGAAAGGTAAGTAGTTGTGTAGATGAGGAGGCTAAGGCCCAAAACGCATCTTTCCTTTTTGGGAGGGACATCCCTCCCTCCCTGCAACACCACAGCACCAGGGCTTCCAACTGGTTCATTGTAGTTCAATTCCCTGCTAAGAATTTGCATTTCCACCCCAGATATACTGAATCAGAACCTACATTTTAACAAGATCTCCAGATGATTCTTATGAATACTCAGGTGATTCTTATGTATACGTAAGAACCACCTGGGGATCTTGTTAAAATGTAGATTCTGATTCAGTATATCTAGGGTGGAAGTGCAACTTTTCAGCAGGGGGTCAAACTGAAACGAACTGGTTTAAAGTTCTGCACAGCACTCATCTCTTCTCGAGAGACCCTCTCCCTTTCTCTGCTGCCCTGTGGTTTTTACCAATGGCCCTCCTTTTCCCCACCAAGCAGAATGACCCTCACCTAACTCCCAAGAGTGGCTCTTCTGCACTCTTGGGGATTGGCTTTACCACACTTACCACTCACCACCCATCTACCTGCTGGACTGTAGACAATTTGAGAGCACCCACTTTCTCATTCATTCATTCATTCATGGTACAAAAACTTATTGAGGACCTTTGTGTGCCAGATACTATGCTAGGTGCTGGGGATGCAGAAGAGTTTATCCACTTCCCATCACCCATACCCTCCTCCAGACCAACATTGGACCTTGTCAGTACCACAATTCATCCTCCTGCACCCTCCACTGCCTCCCTCCAATCCATTCTCAACACGGCAAACCAAAACCACAAAACCAAACCCGCTGCCACTGAGTCAATTCCAACTCATGGCGGCCCCATGTGTTACAGAGTAGAACTGCTCCATACTGTTTTTCTTGGCCACGATCTTTGGAAGCAGCCTACGTGGTGGAAGACGGATATTAGGGATCAACTGCTCCAAAGTTCTAACCTAAGGAAAATGAGATCCTCGGCGTCTATTAGGGAGTTGATGCCTAATACCCTAAGAGAAGAAAGAGTCTTGGTGGCATAACAGTTAAGTGCTTGGCTGCTATCCAAAAGGTTGGTGGTTTGAACCCACCCAACGCCTCCATGGGAAAAAGACCTGACAATTTACTTTCGTAAAGATTACAGCCAAGAAAACCTTATTGGGCAGTTCTACTCTATCACATAGGGTCACTATGAGTTGGCACTGGCTTGACAGTACCCAACAGCACCAGCCTACAAGAGGAAGTGGGAAAAAGCAAGATTTGGCAGAGAAAAGAAAGAAACAACATGATGTAGGCTCAATAAAACCTCAGCCAACCCAGTGTGGAGGGTCTGGAGTAATCCCTGCTCCAGCGCCTTCCATGTCAGACTGGAGCAGCTGAACTCTCACAGCCCGCATTGCTCAGTCATTGAGGGCAGGCTTCTCTGGGGAGACCGTGGCCTCCACCTCGGGCAAGGCAGCTCTCCACCTGAGACAGACCCTGCAGGCACTGCCAGGTGGAGGCTGTCTGCAAGTTCTCCCTTGCAGGAGGAGGGCCCATCTCCACGCCCACCACACCCGCCTCCACTGCTGTCCCTCATCCTCCTTCCAGGCTTCAGCACAGCTCATGGGCCACTTCCTCTGGGAAGCCTTTGTCTAGACCTCTGTCGTTGTTAGCTGCCGCTGAGTCAGCCCCTGCCTCACGGTGACCTCATGCGCAACAGAACAAAATGCTTACCAGTCCTGCACCGTCCCCATGATCATTTGCAACTTGGATTGTTGTGATCCATAGGGTTTTCAGTGACTGATTTTTCAGAAGTAGATAGCCAGGCCTTTCTTCCTAGTCTGTCTTAGACTGGGAGCTCTGCTGAATACTATTCAGCATCATAGCAACACTGAAGCCTCCTCTGACAGAAGAGCGGTAGCTGCACATGAGGTGCATTGGCCAGGAATCCAACCTGGGTCTCCCACACGGCAGGCGAGAATTCTACCACTGAACCACCATTGCTCCCAGACCTCCTTTAGAGGCTCTCATAAAACCCTGTTCTCTTTCTCCCAGCAGTTGTCACAGTGTGCAATCACATGTAAGCTCTGAGTGGGCAAGAACCGTCTCTGTTTGACTCATTGTAGTCCCAGAGCTTAGCCCAGTGCCTGGCCCATGGTAGAGGCCCAGGAAAAACTTGCTGAATTAAGGAATTGTAGAACAGATTTAAAATTCTCATGGAATCCAGACTGGAACCTCTGAAGCTGGATAAGTCCCAGAAACCATGGTTCTAGGTAGCTGCTGAAACCATAAACACTTATTTAGCTTACTCTGTAAACGAATGCCTGCCTTGAACATTGTGCTCTTTTCAAGAATTGTCTATGAGTGATCCAACCGACAACAGCAACCCAAAAGGCTAGATAAGGGCTATGCTGTAAGATCGATCCTTGAGTATTTAACTTGTTTTTCAGAAATGTTGCATGGAATCCTGCCTGTCCACAAGCTATTTTACAACTCCTTGTCTTAGTTTCTTAGTGCTGCTGTAACAGAAATACCACAAGTGGGTGGCTTTGGTGAACAGACATCTATTTTCTCACAGTTTGGGAGGCTAGAAGTTCTAACTCAGGACATCTAGGGAAGGCTTTCGCTCTCTGTCTGCTCTGGGGGGTCTTCCTTATTTCTTTTTCAGCTTTTGTTCCTCACTTCCTTGGCAATCTGCATGTGACGTCTGTTCCTCTTATTCCTGCTTGCTTGCTTCTGCGCCGAAAATGCTCCTTTTATATCTCAGAAGTGATTGGTTTAAGACACATTCTGCGCTGATAACCAAACCAAACCTAAACCTATTGCCATTGAGTCAATTCTGACTCATGTAAGACAGAGTAGAACTGCCCCACAGAGTTTTCAAGGAGCAGCTGGTGGATTCAAACTGCCGACTTTTTGGTTAGCAGCTGAGGCCTTAACCACTGCACCACCGGGGCTCCTCTACAGGGATAGGGGTTAGGGTTTCCAACACATATTTTGGGGGGGACGCATTTCAATTTGTCACACTCCTGTTCTGGCCCTGTTTCCACGGTGATGGACAGTTACTAGCAACGGACTCCCCTAAACTGAGGTGTGGAAGTCTGTAAAAACCCTTCTCTCCAGCATTTACAGCGTTCTAATCAGACCGTCCCCCAATTTGCAAATTGTGTATTTAATAAACTTCAAGCAGTGTCTGTAATTGGCTTCATTTTGGTTTTATGTCAACAGAACACGGAGGCGGAAGAGCGGTTGGGGGGAAATAAGCACCGGTACCCAGCGAGCACTGTTTTGGGCCCACTGCGTCTCTCCAGTCTCTTCAGGGGCATCGGACGTCCTCTGGAGCCCCTGAGCTCCATGCTTTGTGTCGCAGCTCCGAGCTCTGAAGCTGATTTGAGGTTTAGGAGAGACTGGGTCTCTATGGAAGCGGACAGGGTGAGCTAGCTTCTCAGTGGAATCTCAGAGCCTGTCAGCAGCAAAATCAGCGGGCAGGAGGAGAGCAGTCAAAGCCGACAGGGCCCTCACCAAAATAACCTAAGACTCTCACGCAAGGATGAGCTGGTCGCTGGACGGACACATGGCATTAGGTCGCCCACCAGCCGCAAACAAATTCTCGGGCAACAAAGAACACCATAAAACTAACCCCGCGGCAGACTCCCTACGAGGGATTTTACGTGGCTCTATATGGTCGCTCATAGTGACCCTATGGGACAGAGTAGAACAGCCCCATAGGGTTTCCAAGAAGCAGCTGGTGGATTCAAACTGCAGAACTTTTTGGTTAGCAGCCGAACTGTTAACCACTGCATTGCCACGGCTCACTCTGAGTCGGAATCGATTCGGGAGCAACAGGTTCTACACGGCTGCTATGAGTCGAAATCGACTGGACGGCCACCGGTCTGATTTTTTTTGTTGTTGTTGGGGGGGTAAACAAAGTTCTAACCTAAGGAAAATGGAATCCTTGGCATCTAAGTGAGCTTGGAGTTTCCCCTACAGGAATGTGGACTGAGCTTCATGTTCAAAACACTGTAAGACACATAATTGTTTGTTTTTGAAAAAAATTAACTGAATATACTAAAGGTGATTTGGAATTGCAGTGGCCACTATAGGAACTGGGTTCCCATTTGCTTTGTTTTGTGATGTCAGAAGATGTTGCTTTTCATAAGAAGGAGAATCACAGAATGTAACACAGGCATGTTGTTGTTGTTAGGTGCCGTCAAGTCAATCCTGACTCATAGCGACCCTCTGTACAATAGAACGAAACACTGCCCAGTCCTGCGCCATCTTCACAATCTTTGTTACGCTTGAGCCCATTGTTGTAGCCACTGTGTCAATCCATCTCATTGAGGGTCTTCCTTTTTTTCACTCACACTCTACTTTACCAAGCATGATGTTCTTCTCCAGGGACCGAACCCTTCTGATAACACATCCAAAGTATGTGAGATGTAGTCTCACCATCCTTGCCTCTAAGGAGCATTCTGGCTGTACTTCTTCCAGGACAGATTTGTTCGTTCTTTTGGCAGTCCATGGTATATTTAATATTCTTCACAAACACAACAATTCAAAGGCATCAATTCTTCTTCCGTCTTCCTTAACCATTGTCCAGCTTTCGCATGCACGTGAGACGAATGAAAACACCATGGCTTGTGTCAGGTGAACCTTAGTCTTCAAGGTGACATCTTTGCTTTTCAACACTTTAAACAAGTCTTTTGTAGCAGATTTGCCCAATGCAATGTGTCCTTTGATTTCTTGACTGCTGCTTCCATGGGTGTTGATTGTGGATCCAAGTAAAATGAAATCCTTAACAACTTCAATCTTTTCTCTGTTTGTCATGATGTTGCTTACGGTCCAGTTGTGAGGATTTTTGTTCTCTTTTTGTTGAGGTGTAATCCATACTGAGGCTGTGGTCTTAGATATTCATCAGTAAGTGCTTCAAGTCCTCTTCACTTTCAGCAAGCAAGATTGCATCATCTGCATAATGCAGGTTGTTAATGAGTCTTCCTCCAATCCTGATGCCCCATTCTTCTTCTTACAGTCCACCTTCTCGGATTATTTGCTCAGCATACAGATAGAGTAAGTATGGTGAAAGGATACAACCCTCACACACACCTTTCCTGACTTTAAACCAAGCAGTATCCCCTTGTTCTGTTCACATGACTGCCTCTTGGTCTATCTACAAATTCCTCATGAGCACAATTAAGTGTTCTGGAATTCCCATTCTTTGCAATGTTATCCATAATTTGTTATGATCCACACAGTCAAATGCCTTTGCATAGTCAATAAAAACCAAGTAAGCATCTTTCTGATGTTCTCTGCTTTGAGCCAGGATCCATCTGACATCAGCAATGATATCCCTGGTTCCACATCGTCTTCTGAATTCTGCTTGAATTTCTGGCAATTCCCTGTCCGTGTACTGCTGCAACTGCTTTTGAATAATCTTTAGCAAAATTTTACTTGTGTGAGATATTAATGATATTATTTGATAATTTCTGCATTTGGTTCGATCACCTTTCTTGGGAGTAGGCATAAATATGGATCTCTTTCAGTTGGTTGGCCAGGTAGCTGTTTTCCAAACTTCTCGACGTAGACAAGTGAGCACTTCCAGTGCTGCATCCATTTGTTAAAGCATCTCAATGATATTCCGTCCATTCCTGGAGCCTTGTTTTTCATCAATGCCTTCAGTGCAGCTTCAACCTCTTCCTTCAGTACCATTGCTTCCTGATTGTATGTTACCTCCTGAAATGGTTGAACATTGACCAGTTCTTTTTGCTATAGTGACTCTGTGTATTCCTTCCATCTTCTGTTGATGCTTCCTGAGTCATTTAATATTTTCCCCATAGAATCCTTCACTATTGCAACTCGAGGCTTGAATTTTTTCTTCAGCTCTTTCAACTTGAGAAATGCAGAGCTTGTTCTTCCCTTTTGGTTTCCTAACTCCAGGTCTTTGCACATGTCATTCTAATACTTTACTTTGTCTTCTCAAGCCGCCCTTGGAAATCTTCTGTTCAGCTCTTTTACTTCATCATTTCTTCCATTTGCTTTAGCTACTCGATATTCAAGAGCAAGTTTCAGAGTCTCTTCTGACATACATTTTGGTCTTTTCTTTCTTTCCTGTCTTTTCTATAACCTCTTGCTTTCTTCGTGTATGATGTACTTGATGTCATTGCACAACTGGTCTGCTCTTCAGTCATTAGTGTTCAAAGCATCAAATCTGTTCTTGAGATGGTCTCTAAATTCAGGTGGGATATACTTAAGATCATACTTTGGCTCTAGTGGACTTGGTCTAATTTTCTTCAGCTTCAATGTGAACTTGCATATGAGCAATTGATGGTCTGTTTCACAGTCGGCCCCTAGCCTTGTTCTGACTGATGATATTGAGCTTTTCCACCGTCTCTTTCCACAGATGTAGCCAATTTGATTCCTGTGTATTCCTTCTGGTGAGGTCCATGTGTATAGTTGCTGTTTATGTTGTTGAAAAAAGGCATTTGCAATGAAGAAGTCGTTGGTCTGGCAAAATTCTATCATGTGATCCCCAGCATCATTTTTATCACCAAGGCCATGTTTTCCAACTACCGATCCTTCTTCTTTGTTCCCAACTTTCACATTCCTATCAGTGCATCCTGGTTGCATGCTTGATGAATTTCAGACTGCAGAAGTTGGTAACAATCTTCAAATTCTTCATCTTTGGCCTTAGTGGTTGGTGCATAAATTTGAATAATAGTCATATTAACTCCTCTTCCTTGTAGATGTATGGATATTATCCTATCACTGACAGCATTGTACTTCAGGATAGATCTTGAAATGTTCTTTTTGATGATGAATGCAATGCCATTCCTCTTCATTTTGTCATTCCCAGCATAGTAGATCATTTGATTGTCCTATTCAAAATGGCCAATACCAGTCCATTTCAGCTCACTAATGCCTAGAATATTGATCTATATGCATTCTATTTCATTTTTGATGACTTCCAATTTTCCTAGATTCATACTTCGTTCATTCCACATTCCAGT